TTCTTATTTTTTGGTTTAATAGCTAATTAAATTTGTCAAAAAAGAAGAGGAGGGATAAAATTTCACACGTGTTGTTTATAATAAATATTGCTAAAATACAAATTAAATAGTATTATAATTGTAACATAGGCGTGGCTTATAAAACCAGCCTATCCTTCCACCCTCTCAACAATCACTTTCTTAACCACTTACATTAAACTGGACACTTTTAATTAATTCTGTTTTTCTCCCCCATACAATATATTTGGATTTTACTAGTTTTAGTTAAATAAATTTGTTTTTAAATTTAATTCTTTTTTTATATAATCTAGGGGTAAATCACCCACCGGGGCTCCGGCCCTAGTCCTTCTACGGACTAGGACAACCGGAGCCTTCGGCGAACCTTACCTATTTAATATTCTCCTCCGTCCCATTCCCCAACATTACATGGTGCCGCTAACAGGGACTGGGTTATTTTTAACTCTATTTTGTTTCACTCTAATACGAACAATTTTTTCATAATTTTGTCTAATTTTTTTTCTCGCCAATTTGTTTTTCGTGTTACCCATTTTGATTGCCGAGAACTTCCAAGAAAATTTTTTTTAATTATGTGATATATTCTGATTGCCGAGAAATTTAAAGAAATAAATTCAGTATATCGCGATTTATGATAAATTTATAAAAAATATTTAACAGCCAGCATTTCATAAATATAAATACAGATTAAATAAGCCCTCTCCCCAATAAATATAAAAGCCACAAAATATAAATATAATAAGCCAGGCTCCCCCCTCCCTTAATTATAGTAGGCCTTTAAATAAATTTATTTATAAATTAAAATTTTATTCATTATTCAAAAAATATAATCTTTACTCGCCCCATTCAAAAATAAAAACATACTATTTTCGGAACCCTTTAAGCTTTTTCTGATTCAAAAAAAAATAAAAATAAAAATATATTTTTGCAAAAATATACAATTTTTGGTCTCTAAAAAATAAAATATATTTAAATTTAAACAATATTTACTCCAAAGTTAAAAAAGCGCTTTTACAAATGTTCGGACATCTTTTTAATTTACATAAAATGTGCCTTACTCTTTCTTTTTTCGACGGTGCTAGCCTGATCAACTGGCACCTAGCCCCTTTCCTCCTCATCCCAACAAAATAAAAATAACGGCTGTGCACGGCCGGAGTAAGAAGCACAAAAATTTAAAATTTTTTTACATTTGTATAAATAGGCTGGCAATAGTGAAAAAAATATTTTTAAAAGAATAAAAGAAAATAAATAAAAAGGAAAAAAGAGGCAATCTTTAACGGCCAAAGAAATAGAAAAAATTAAAAAAAGGCAAAAGGCAATCTGTAATTGGCCAATTTATGTTAATTAAAATTGTTCATTTTTTTGACACTCCCCTTCACAAAAAAAATTGTTTATAAATATACCCATTTAATACAAATTTTCATCATAAAATTTACTCATCTCAAAACAGCTAAAAATTAAATAAAAATTTTCTCCTTCTCTTTTTTGCTTAATAATATTTTAAAATAAAACTAAATCTTTTTTAACTAAGGCTAAATAATTTTTCACAAAATTAATTATCTTTTAAATTTTATTATCATTTATCCTCAATCATTTGATTTTAATCTTTTTTGTCACTAATTTAATTCTTTCCCGGTTTCCCATAATTTTCTAATAAACTCCTAAATTTTAAAAATATATAAAAATCATTTTTCCTGCTTTCTTCAAACAGTTAAAAATATATTTATCAAATATTTAAAAGAGAATTATTGGAAGTTGAATAATTAAATTAAAGTAATAAATTCTTGACTAAAATTAATAGAAATTTTTCTAGTTAAATAAAGCTAATTAAAAGATTAATTAAAGCTTCTAAATAATCTGAAATTGTAAAAAGAAGAAAATTTAATAAATACAAACATTAAAAAAATAAAATTTTTGTGTCAGCCACTGCCAAAGGTTGCTATATAAAATTAATTAAAGCCGAAGGTTCGCTAGAACGACCTGGCAACCTGACATAAAAAATATATATTTGATTTTAAATTTGAGAAAATATATAAAGAAAATTAAAGTATTAAATAGTAGACCAAAATTGATAAAATAAATAAATATATAATAAATAAAATAATTTAAATTAATTTTAAAGTAATTATTATATAAAATAAAAATTTCGTTAAAAAATAGAGAAAATTTTGAGCCCATAATCCAAACTAGAAGTCAAAAAAGAAAAATATTACAAAGTGTCTCTAAATCCACTGAATCTCTAAATACACCAGAAGACTTAGAATTTTTAACACCAAAAGACGATAATAAAACATTAACTTTAAGTCCTGATTTGAGTCCAGAATTAAGTTTAGTACCCGTATCTAATAAAATAAAATTAAATAAAATGGATGTAAAAGATTTAATGCAAGCGATCCAGGAAATAAAAGAGCAACTAGATAAGCCAAAACCTCAACGACCTCACTTAATCCCACCAAAATTTAGTGGTAGAGACGATATAAGAGACTGGGAACAATATTTAAAAGAGTTTTGTCGTATTGGCGATGCTTTAGGATGGGACGAGAAAACTTTATCAAAAACATTGCCAAATTATCTTGAAGGAGAAGCACTTGCAATGTATGAGTTACTGACTGAAGCAGATAAAAATTCTTGGGATAATATTAAGAAAAGTATGGCAAATAAGCTTAGTCAGGATCACCAAGGAAATTGTTTAGCCAGAACCCAGTTATTAATGAGAGATCAAAAACCTGGAGAGTCTGTTTCAGAATTTGCGGCGGCAATAGAGTCATTAGTGAAAAAAGGATACCCTAAAGATAAATACACTGAAATACAAAGAAATGAGATGATTGTCGATGCTTTTTACAGAGGATTAAAATATAATATTAGAAAAGTGTTAATTAGGCAGGATCAACCAAAAACATTAGCCGAAGCAATAAGTAGCGCCCAAAAGGAGGAACTCAATCAGAAAATATTAGCAGAGGAAGAATTAAAAATTTCTGGTAAATCTAGGCAAGAGTCTCTAGAAAATGAACAATTAAGATTATGCAGAGAATTGGAAAAATTAAAAAATCAATTAAATGAAAAAATAAACGAAGAGAAAATAAATGTCGTTAAAACTGAGCAAGGGTGTTCAAATTGTAATTGTAATAATCCAGTACCACTGTCTAATATTCAAGCATATCCCACTAATTTCATGCCTTATCATCTACCACATAGTAATTATAATAATTTTAATAGACGTGGATTTAATAACAATAGGAGAGGATGGAATCAAAATAGATATAATAATCAGAATTGGACCCAAAATAGAAATCGAAATAATATAAATAATTATAATAATAACCCAAATACTATAAATAACAATAATAATTCTAATTTTGGACCATATAGACCGCGCAGACGTGGAAGAGGAGGTTATCCTGTAACCGCAATCTTACCTTTTATAGTAACATTAATTAATTTAATTTTTATGTATTCTGTTGAAGGATTTCCAATAAATTGCCAAAAGCATGTATTTACCGGAGGTGCGGTGCGGTGTAGTAAATCAATAATAAATGAATGTAATAAAATTAAAATTCCTCTAAAAATAAATTATCCGGAATGCCTCAAATTTGCCAATCCTATACGAGAAAATTTAAATACTATGGCAAATACCCCAAAATGGAAAATTTCAAAGACAATCCCAGACGAGTATTGTAAAAAAGTACATGAAATAATATATTTATCCTTCTCACAAATAAATTCATATGACGGAAAACTAGTTACAAGCAAATTATTAGAAAAACCCTGTTCAATTATTCCAAATTATTGTCTAATTAATAATGATTCAATAATTTGGGACCCACTTAATCCAAAATATAGAAATAAAAATAACGTTTTCGATACACTAACAAATGAAAATATCATTAAATCGGAGAATGTTGACTCCTGGATATTAGATTCTAAATATATGGAAATTGCGGAAAATACTAATTGTTATCATCAATTAAGTGATGAACATTTTATTAACATCCATTTGCCAAATTGGGCAAGTAATATAAATAAAATAATTAAAAATAAAATAATAAATTCTTCAAAATGGATTCATTTAAAAGCGCACAACTTGTCGGTAAATATAGAAGATCTAAAAGAAAATTTTATAAATTCATCCAAAAATCTTTCAAAAACGGTTAAAACAAATATCGAAGAAAATACAGTTGGTGTTTATAAAAAGTTTAATAACGCAACAAATGCGGTTAAATTATTTCTTGAAGATGTTCTTTGGTGGTTAAAATTTATTTTATTTGGTGTAATTATACCTAGCATAATTATATATTTTTTATTACTGACTTACTCCTTTTATAAAAAATTTAAATTATTTTTCTCTAAAATAATCTGGCCCTTAAGAATTAATGCAGTAGAAGTCCAAGAGCCTATAGAGCTAAAAGAAATTAATATTGGAGAGAAAAATAATAATAATAGAAAAATCAATAATAAATTTAAAACAAACAAATTAACTAATATGAAGAAAAATGAATCTGAAATAAATTATTTAAATTATTCTTATAATATCTTTAAAGATCAGAGAAAATTACCAATTTTATATATTCCAATAGGTTTAAAATCCTACCCTGCGGTAATTGATACTGGGTCGAATATTTCTTTTGGCCCGAGTCATATTTTTGAAGAGGCTCTTTGTAATATAGAGGAAATAGAGCCAACAAATGTATTATTTATTGGAGGATTAAATATTAATTTTACAAAGAAAACTAGGTTAAGATTAATGCCAAAAGGATTTGAATATATTGATGTAAATTTTTTTGTTTATAAAGATTTAAATATTCCTTTAATAATTGGCAATGATCATCTGTATATATTTGAGTTACACGGGATAAAACCATACTTTAACATTAACGGGATAATAGAGTTTGATTTCACTGAATATGATTTAAAACATAAAAACAATTTAATAAATAATACAATTAGACAAATAGAAAGTAATTCGGTATATAAAGCAGGAAAATCAATTAAAAATTGGATTCAAATAAATAGCCCGAGTTTTGAAAAAATGTTACCAGAATTAACAATAACAAAAACACGTCTGCCTTTAATAAATATAATTGTAAATAATAAGACTTATGAAGCATTATTTGACTCAGGAGCAGAAATAACACTCTGTTCCAGAGCATTTGCAAAAGAGATTAAAGCCAAAAAAGTATTTTATAAAAATACACCCAAAATATATTCTCCAATAGAAAAAAATAATCCAGTCAATATCGAAGGATGTGTTTCAGTGAAAATAGAAGTAGGTCTTTTTACTGGCGAGATTCTCGTTTGGATAACAGATGAAAATACTTCAGCATTTAATTTTATATTAGGCTATGACACTATTAAAATAATATGCAAACAAATTGGTAGCATCCCATTAAAAACCGGAGAAATTTTTATAAATAAAAATAATAAATCTTTTATAAGCAATCCAAGCTGGGAATCAAATATATCATTTATGTATTCAACTGAAAATTTTTCAAATAGTCAAAATCATATTTTACCGGTAATATTAATGAAAATAAATGGAAAGAATATAAGAGCATTATTCGACTCCGGAGCTTCTGTATCTTACTTAAGGGAAAGTGTTATGAACAGTTACGGTCTTACACCTTTACAAAATATAAATCTCCCGAAAGCCAAAGCTGCTAATCAGTCAACGTTCAAATTTATTACACAATGTAGAGCAATTATAAACATTGGAAATATAAAATTTATATACTATTTTTATGTTACTGTAGATAATAATTGCCCATACCCGTGTCTAATAGGAGCAGATTTTATGAAGAAATTAAATGAATTAGGTAATAATATCAGCTTGGAATTTCATAGAAATAAAATTTTAATTGGAGAGTCAGAAATACCTCTTGTTGCTTTTATATCAACTGAACAAAATACTGGAGAAAATAAATATATTAAAAATAATAATTCTAATTTTATAGCAGTTATTGCACCAGCTGAAATAATTTTAGAACCTAGAACAGATAATTTAATCATAGGCACGACAGAATATGAATGTCCGAGTCAATTATATATTACACACCCGCCAACGCATTTTTCTTCAGAATTTTTCTTAGTCGGAAGAACTATTGTTAAACCAGGGCCTCTGAAATTTATTAAATTAAGAATAATGAATCCATCTCAAATAGAAATTAAAATAAAGCCAGGAGAAGTAATAGCATTTTTGGAATCGATAAATGACCAGGATGAAATAATAAATATAAAATTTAAAAATGAATTTAATGAAAATGATCAAAATAATATTTCACAATATAAACCTATCTATTCATGTCAAACAAATTTACTTATAGATCACGAATTTTTAAAAGGAATAAACTTAGAAAAATCCATATTAAGCATACAATCGAAGGAAAAGCTAAAAGAGATTATCTGCAAATATAAGCATGTTTTTACTGAAAAAAGCGATTATAAGGGGTCAATAAAACATGATATTAATTTAGAACCGGGTAAAGGTCCAATTGCTTCTAGACAATACCGAGTGCCCATGACAATGAAAGAGGAAATTAAAAAACAGGTAGAGCAGATGCTTAAAGACGGAATAATAGAGCACTCGAATTCCCAATTTGCCTCTCCTGTTGTATTAGTCAAAAAGAAAGATGGTAGTATGAGATTCGCAATAGATTACAGAAAGCTAAATTCAATCACAATCAAACAAGTTTACCACTTACCATTAATCAATGAGATAAGAGAGGAAGTATCGGGGAAGAAAATTTTTACTAGTTTTGACTTTAAGTCAGGATTTCACCAGTTGCCAATGAATCCTGAACATAAAGAGCGCACTGCTTTTTCATGTTGGATGGGACTTTTTCAATTTATTAAAGTTCCTTTTGGCCTTTGTGGCGCTCCTTCGACATTTATGCGTGCTATGAATGAATTGAAAAAATATATATCTTCCTCATTTTTAATTTACATCGATGACGTTATTCTTTCTTCAAATAACGAAATAGATCATTTAATTGATATAGAGCAATTTCTTTCAGTAATATCGAACTTCGGCATGAGATTAAAGCTTGATAAATGCGAATTTGGTCTATCAGAAATTAAATATTTGGGTTTTTTCATATCAGAGAAAGGAATTAGACCAGACCCTAAAGATTTAGAGAGTATAGATAAAATAAATCCGCCTACTAATTTAAAAGAGTTGAGAGCTTTCCTAGGCGCAGTAAATTACTTTAGAAGATTTATACCGGAATGTGCCAATCTGTGCTATTTTAACTAGAAAAGATTTAACAGGACGTTTGGCGCGATTTCAGCTAGCTATCCAATCATACGACATTAAAATAATTCATAGGTCAGGTAAAAGTAATCAATTTGCAGATTATTTAAGTAGACACGTCAATGTTGTTACCAGATCAAAAGCTAGAGCTAACTATATTTCGAGCTCTGAAAGCGAAGACGAGAATTATAATAATACTAATAAATCTTCAATTAATACTAAAATATCGCTAAACAAAATAATAAACTTACAAAAAATGTGTCCTGAACTTTTAAAAATAATAAGTGCGTTAAAGGGTTATTTCCCTCAAAATAAAAAGATAAAAGAACAATTAGAAGAAAATATTAAAAATTATTCCTTAATTAATGGAGCTCTACATTATATAGACACAAATGGCACGGCAAGACTAGTAATTCCTTATATAATGAGAGAAAATATTTTAAAAATCATGCATTCGGATCCAGGCACAGGAGGTCATTTAGGCGTATCAAAAACAATCGAAAAAATGAAACTTAGATTTTATTGGGAAAATATGAGAGAGGATATTAAACAATATATTAAAACTTGTGATTCTTGCCAAAGAGTAAAGGATGAATTTCATCCAAAACATGAAGAGTTATTTCCAATTAAAAAGCCTAATTTACCTTTTGAACATATTCATATAGATATAATCGGACCAATAGTTACTAGTAATAAAGGTTCAAAATATATATTATCAATGATAGATAGTTTTTCAAAGTATTTAATTTGCTGCCCATTAAAAGAACAAAAAGCTACAATAATTGTAAAAGTAATAATAGATAAATTAATAACTAAATACGGAGTACCAAAATTTATAACATCCGACCAAGGTAGAAACTTTACGTCTCAGGTAATGAAAGATATTTCAAAAATATTTGGGTTTGAACAAATTTTTACTACGCTAATGGCCAAGTCGAACGTTCAAATAGAATAATTAAATCAATTTTAACACATTATGTCGATAAGGAAGGCCGAACTTGGGAGGAATATCTGCAGTTAGCGACAATGTCTTATAATTCGGCAATTCACGAGAGTACTAAAATGTCCCCTTTTAAAATTTTGTTTGGTAGAGAAATGAGATTACCCATTGATAATTTACTTAATACGAATCAAATTGAGAATAAAAATGAAGAAAATAATACATTTTTTAAAGAAAGCCTAGAAAATAAATTTAAAGCCATCTGGAAAGAAACTAGCCTTAATATTGAAAAGGCTCAAGAAAAACAGAAAAAATATTTCGACACAAAAGTAAATCCGTCTAATTATAAGTTAGGAGATCTGGTGATGAAAATTATAGAAGTGCCGTTACATAAATTTGCTAATAAATATGAAGGCCCTTTTGAAATAATATCAATTAATAGCCCTAATATAATTTTAAAAGAGAATGACTCCAAAATAGTCGAGACACATATGGACAAAATAAAATTATATAATAATAAATTGGCCTTGCCATTAAGAGAGCCATTGTCAAAGATTAAATTTAAAGATAAAAATATGGAAATAGAGAAAGAGTCAGAAACGGAATAAAAAATAATAATAAATAAAATAATAATAAAAACAAAAAAAAAACAAAAAACAAAAAAAAATTTTTTTTTAGATGTACCTATCATAATAAAACATTTTTGACACATTAAAATATTTTTTTTCTTTCTAAAATTATTATTACATATTTAAATATTTACACAATCTTCACACTTCCTTTTTATCTTTTCATTTTAGCTTTAGATTTAATAATTTTTTATAGTAAAAATATAATTTACTTATATTAATTTTATATTTTAAATTATAGAAATTGCTATTTAATTTTAAATTATTCTAAAAAATTTTTTAAAATGTCGGAAAGCAACAAAGTAGCTGTAGCTGAAAACAAAGCAGCTGAAAATCAAGAAAAGAAAACTGAAACCGTTAAAGAAGTTAAAATTAAATGCAAGGGCAATTGTGTTTCGGAGTTGAAAAATTCTTTGGAGGGAATCAAGGAGGCTGTGATGCTGCTCGTCGAAAAACAACAACAAGAAAATTCAACAGAAGAGACATCATCAAACAACACTGAAGAAATACCAATTCAACAACATTTTCGTGGAGGACAACAATTTCGTGGAGCTCAACAATTTCGCGGTGGCCGGGGATTTCGTGGAGGACGTCGCATCAGATTCTTCGAACCTTATGCTTACGACAACAATAATCATGACCGTTATCGCAGAGCTGGCTCATTGGGACCCCGCCGTTATTAAAGAATTGGAGGAAAAAGAAGAAAATAAATTAATGAGAAGATAAGGGAAAATAAATTAAAATATTTTAATAAAATTACTAAGTAATTTAAGATTTAATAATTTTTCTAATAAGTTTTATACTCACAATAATTTTTTAATTAGTTTTAGCCATTTACTAAGGCCAACTTTATTTTTTTAATTTGACATAATAATTATTTAAAAACCATAATTTCATTTATTTGGATTTTTTAAATTTACCACATTTTTCATTACCTACCACAATCCTAAATTTTAGGACTTTTTACCACAAATGCAAATTTTCCTTGTGCCAAGTCCTCGCAAAAAAAAAAATTATTTAATTCAAAAAAAAAATTTAAAAAAAAAAATTCTTTTCTTTCCCCCCTTAAAAAATAATAATAAATTTTTCATCACCCCCACCCCCCTTCTTTAAAAAAAAAATAATAATTTTTTAACATTCCCCCAATTAAAATAATTCAAAATATTTTTTATCCCCCAAACTTAAATTATAAAACTAAAAATGCCGAGGACGGCATAAAAAGGAAAATTAGGCATGTAACATAGGCGTGGCTTATAAAACCAGCCTATCCTTCCACCCTCTCAACAATCACTTTCTTAACCACTTACATTAAACTGGACACTTTTAATTAATTCTGTTTTTCTCCCCCATACAATATATTTGGATTTTACTAGTTTTAGTTAAATAAATTTGTTTTTAAATTTAATTCTTTTTTTATATAATCTAGGGGTAAATCACCCACCGGGGCTCCGGCCCTAGTCCTTCTACGGACTAGGACAACCGGAGCCTTCGGCGAACCTTACCTATTTAATATTCTCCTCCGTCCCATTCCCCAACATTACATAATTAAATATATTTTGTGAAAAACAAAGAAAAATTATAATTAAAATAACTATAAAGTACACAAAAATAATAATTAAATGATGTTTTTTGAGACTATTTAATTTTTAAATAAAAATATTTATTGTAAATTTATGTATTTTCTAAAAGAAATACATGGGATTCTAGGGTGTGCGAGCATATCGAGACGGACATATCGGGATTGGTGTGACAAAAATAATTTCTTGCGTGTTTACGTTTGTTCTAAAACATAAAAACTTTATTCCGGACAATTACTATCCAAGATCCTGTGGCCGTAGGTCCTGAGATCAAAAGGGTAACTGTTCGTACATTGAAGTATCCCGATAGGTCCGTTCCGATATGTCCGCGTGCCGATTCTAGTTTCCAACCCTCTCGTAGGATGTACTTATATTAAAACGTAAGGATTTATGGATAAGATGCACTCTTTATCAGGTTTGAACGAACCGAAGAATCGATGATTTTTCGGTTCCGTTTAGGATATCCGAAGAATTTACTGAAACCTAATTTGGACTACGACACTACCTCCTATTTAGACTATAACCCCTATTAGTTTCCTAAAAATTTTAAAATGTATCATAAATAGAGGTCAATTCATTTATTCCAGTCAATTCATTCCAGTCTTCAGTCCATTTTTCATTCCATAAATCTTTCTAGTAAAAAATTCTCTGGCGTTTTACTGTCACTGGATTCAGTTGAATTTTTCTCAAAACACAAATACCCCAAAAAATTTTTTTTCATTTTTTTCAGTAAATATGTGCTCTCAAAAATTAAAGACAAAAACACTATATTAATATTTATTATTTATTAAAAAAATTTAATTACTTAAACGTCAGAATACAAAAATTAAATAATAAATAGGGCAGATAAATAACAAAAAATATTTAATAATAAGAAAACACCTTGTCGGTACTTTTCCGTTCTGCCACACCCCCCTAAATTTATGTTCAAAATGTCATATATAGGGTAACAAAGGGTGCTGGTCACGTCTGTAATGTTTATTTACCGATTTAAAGAACCCCTAACTCAGTAATTGTCATAAGCTCATAATGGTCAAACTTCAACATTTTATTGTTATAATATTATTTTGGTGGGATATAATCTTTTATCGTTTTTATGATTTCTTCAAATACATTAGCTTCTCTTCGTTTAACATCACTCCGCCATAAGAATTCACAAAGGTAACTCAAGCATTAATTTGTCGTAATTATAGAGCATTTTTGCTTTAATGTTAGCATTGGTTCTACTTCATTTATATATATACTTATTAGATGACCAACGATTATATAACAACAGAGAATAAGTATTAAATTCAAATATTAATGCATTAATAGTCTCATTTTTATATATATTATTACAATAAACTGTTGAAGTTTGACCATTATGAGCTTATGACAATTACTGAGTTAGGGGTTCTTTAAACCGGGAAATAAACATTACAGACGTGATCAGCACCCTTTATAACCCTATATATGACATTTTAAACATAAATTTAGGGGGGTGTGGCAGAACGGAAAAGTACCCACCTTGTCTTAAGCAAATATTTTTTTCAAAAAAATTATAAAAATTAATTAATTAAAGGGGAAATAAAA